AGGAAAGAGAGAGGCAGAATCTAGAGAGACACCAGCCTGCTGCCCAAGGAACAACATACCAGTAGACCAGTAAGCCACGAAACATGTGGCAAAACATAGATGAATAGAAATGGATTAATTTAAGATATAAGAGCTGGCTAGCAAGAGGCCTGCCATAGACCATACAGTTTGTAAATAATATAAGACTCTGTGTGTTTACTTGGGGCCAAGTGGCTGCGGCTGTACTGTGGAACACAGGTGGGAGAGATTTGTCTGACTGCAAGCCCAGGCAGGACTGGAGAAACCTTCTGGCTACACTAGCCCCTTCATGTGCTCCAGCATATCATAGATGGGGTGGATATTGTGATGGGCAAATTCATAGCCCTGGTTCTGGGCCTGGGTGGTTGCTGGGTTGGTCAGCCTGCAACCCCTGTGCTCGCCACTAGGGTGAGCTCTTCAGCACCACCTGAGCTAGCTCGCCTTAGGCAGGAAGCAGCTAGGGGCAGGCTTGTTCCTTCTACTCTCATGCCCTTGGGCCAGCTCACCCAGACCTACACCACCAGGGCCAGCTCTACTGCGTTTTCCATGTGAGGTGCTGAGGCCACTCTACTGAGTGCTGCAGCTGGTGAGAGGCAGGGCCAGCTCTCCCACCTGCCACAGGTGGTGAGGAGCCAGGCAGGGGAGAGCATCCGTCCCTCACCCACACCACCATACGGCAGATGAGGGCCAGAACCAAATCTCTCATGCTCACATTTTTAGCTGGCTCACCCAGGCCCCTGTCAATGAGGTCAGCTCTAGTGTGCTGCCTAGGCAAGGTGCAGGGCCTGCTTTCCTGTGTGCTGCAGCTGCTGAGGGGGAGAATCAGCTCTCCCACCCGCTCCTCAGGTAGTGAGGGGTTCTCTCTCTCTCTCTCTCTCTCTCTCTCTCTCTCTCTCTCTCTCTGTGTGTGTGTGTGTGTGTGTGGTGTGTGGTGTGTGGTGTGTGGTGTGTGGTGTGTGTGTGTGTGTGGTTTTTCAAGACAAGGTTTCTCTGTGAAACAGGCTGTCCTGGAACGCTCGATCAGGCTGGACTCGAACTCACAGAGATCTTCCTGTCTCTGCCTCCCAAGTGCTGGGCTAAAAGGTGTGCAGCACCACCACATCTGGCACACCTAGCCCAATGAAACAATTTTTAAAAGAACAAAGAAGTGAATAACTCAAAAAACAAAACAAAACAAAACAACAACAACAAAAAAAAAAAAAAAAAACAGGCAAAGGTACTGAGTAGATGTTTGTTCTGATGTGTTTTCTCTTGCTGTAATAAATACCATGACCAAAAGCAACTCAGAGAGGAAAGGATTTATTGCATCTTACAGCTTATGTATACATAAGTATATATGTTTACATAGTCCATCATGGAAGGGATCCAAGGCAAGAGTTCAAGGTAGGAGCCTGAAGGCAGTCACTGAAACAAGGGTGATGGAGGGATGCTGCTTACCAGCTTGCTCCCCTTGGCTTGCTCAGTCTGCTTCCTTATACAGCCAGAACAATCACAAAAACCCAGAACCACCCTCAGTGAACTTGGGCCTCCCATGTCAATCAGTAATCAAGAAAATGCCCCCTCAGACTCACCTATAGGCCAATCTGATGGTGGCAATTCCTCAACTGAGATTCTCTCTTCCAAGATAAGTGATCTATGTCACATTGACTAAAAAGAGCTAGCACAATGTCTCCCCAAAGAAGATACACACATGGCCAGGAGTTAAATGAAAAGTTCCAATGACAGCAATCATTGGGGAAATGTAAATCAAATGGTAATGAGGTGTAGTTTCACATCTGTTAAGATAACTTCATCAAAGACACAAAAATAACACATACTGGCCAGAGGTTGATGTTAAAGGAACCATTATACTTTTGGGGTGGGGATGTAAGTTGGTGCAAACATTGTGGAAATCTGTATGGAGGCTATGAATAGAATTATGGTATGATCCAGCCTTTTTCTGCTGAGTTTAACTCAAAGGAAATGAAATAGTCCCTATATAACGCTATCTAACCCCATGTTCAGGATAGAATGACTTAGAATAGCCAAGACATGGGAACAACTGAGATGTCCATTGATGGGTGGGTGGTGGGCTGGGGTTGTAGGTCAGTGGTAGAGCACTTCCTTAGCACAAGCAAGGCCCCTCCCTGGTTCAATCCCCAGTGATTCCAGACAACATTCAGATTGGAAGAAAAAAAAAAAGAAAGCTCTTTGTCTGGTGGATTAGTTGACAGAGCAATTGAGAGGCGGACAGACAACACAAAACTCAGACTTCGAAAGTGAAATCCTGTCATTTGTAACAATGTGGATGAATCCAAAGAACATTGTGCTCAGTGAAATAAACAGAAGCAGAAAGAGAAATACTGCCTGGGCTCACCTATATGCAGAAGCTTTTTAAAATACATTAAATACATAGAAAATAAAATGGGCTAACAGGAGCATGGGATGAATGGGATAATTCAAATCAAAGTTCTGAAGAATGAGTCAAGCTAGTGTTGTAGCCTGAGAATTTGCTGAGAGAGTAGATTCTCTACACGCATGCACACTGTCACAGTCCGTTGCAGGCACCATTTCTAGAAGACTTCAGAAAAGCTGCATGTCCTGAGTTAGGTATTAAGAAGAAATAGACTAAGGCAACGCCCCTCCTCTCAGATTGAGTAATACTATCTTAAAGCCAGGCATGGTGGTACAAACCCATAATCCCAGAACTTGGCAAGCCGAGGCAGCAGGAATGTGAGATCAAAGGCAGCCTCAGCAAAATAGTGAAGACTTGTCTCAAACGAATACTCACAGTGAAATAGGTTGAGGAATCATCGGCCCTGGATGAAGGTTCTGGAACATCTTCATGCTGTTGTTAGTTATTCAGTGGAGAAGAGATATCAAAGCGTGGCCACTGAGACAAAATGCAGATGACCAAGGAAGAGTTTGAGATCCCAGAAGTTGGTCGGGTGCCCAGAATATCTCAAGGTCTACTCCCATTCCATTTATACATCAGGCTCCTAGACATTATTATGTCAGTGCTGTCTTTGTTCATTTTTATCCTTAAATTTTCCTTGAATGTATTTAAGGTATATGGCACGAACTCTTGATACACTTATTTTTTTATGTCAACATACAGTCATGCATCACTCAACAACAGGCTGAGACCTACCTGCTCGGTTAGCTGAGTTACTCACTGTGCAAACACCGTGGAATGTACTAACCCAGCTTCAGAAGGGACAGGCTGCTACAGCAGGGATTTGGAGTACCTCTAAAGGCACACGTGTGTGAGCGCTTGGTTCCCAGACTGTGCTGTTACCCAAGGTGGGGCATCCTCTAAGAAATGGAGCCTGTGGGACATTTTCCCACCACCAGAGTCAGACATGGCCTTGAAGCAGAAACTGAGTAATTTTTCAATTCCATATAGTCTTATGGTACTGTCATTGACTACAGAGTCTGTCTTGGGCCAAATTTTCATTATGCAATTACATGGTGACATGATTACTACAGTCAGATTAACATACTCATTATCTCAAAGAGCTGTGCATATGTGTGTGCATGTCATGTGATTGCCTTTTCATCATGCCTCTTGATGGTAGATACAGAGATAGGAGGAAACACCAAATCTCATCCAGCTCTCAAAGATGGCTGCAAGGCATAAGCAATGTTTGTTTCCCTATGTGTCCCTGATATCTGGTCATTTGGGCAGCTTTATTCTTCCATATTACATGGTAAAAAACTATAGGCCTTTAAAATTACATATTTTTAACTTTCATAGTAATTTTAGACATAAAATATTGCAAAAGTCATTCAGAGATCTCCCATATGCCATTCACATGTTAACATCTTGCTTAACCCTTAAGCAGTAAACATTGGTGAACTACTATTAACTAAACTACAAGCTTTATTTGGGTTTTACCATTTATGATGGTTAGCTTTAATTGTCAGCTGGACACAACCCAAACTTACCTGGGAAGAGAGTCTCAAGGAGAGATTGTCTACACTGGGTGGGCCTATGGGCAAGACTGTAGGGGGTTGTCTTAATTAAGTTAGATGTGGGAAGACCCAGACCACTGTGGGTGGCACTATTCCCTAGGCCAGAGGTCCTGAACCATATAAAAGTAGAAAAAAATTAAGCCAATCATAAGTCAGCAAGCTGCCATGCATGCACTCATTTATTTCTCTGTGTGGCTGTGATATGGACCCTGTGTAAGAGTAGAGAAAGCTATCTGAGCATTAAGCATACATACATACATTTCTCTCTGCTATTGACCATGGATGTTACTAGCTGCTTCAAGCTTCTGCCACTGTAAGTTTCCTACTAGAGTAGCCTATAATCTGGAAATACAAGCCATATAAGCCCCCCTTCACCCCTAAATTGTTTTGATTTTTGTTGTTGTTCTTGGTGGTGATTTTTGTGGGGATGGGTGGTCAGGGTATTTTAACACAGGAATAGAAATGAAATGAAAACATCATTCCCATGAATGCCCCTTTTCTTTTGGGCTAGGATCTAATCTGGATTCTCTGTCCCATTTAGCCTTTTCAGTTTATGATCATTTGTTGAAAGCTGCAGCCACAAGCAGCCACTTCATGGGACCTTCCCCAGGCCCTGTCGGGCCCATGAGGGGCAAGTGAGTCCCAAGTGGTTAGCTATTCCCAACACACCTTTTATTCCAGCATCTGCAACACTGTTTGATAACAACTGCAGCTGCCAATTGAAGAGCAATCTTCACACATGTGATGTGAAAAGAACTCTTCTTTCTTTATTCCCAGGTCTGTGAGCATACCTGCCCTCACTAACGGTCCTGTCAGTAGCATGGCCTTCCAATGACTAGGACAAGGTTATGATTTATCTATGATGGTGATGGTGTGGCTACAGCATTCAGGTGAGACAGGAGCTGCTGAGATTGTATATATAAATACCCTCTCTCCAGAGAGCCACCACACCTGATGTCTTTGGGGGATGTGGAAATGTTTACACATATCACATCTGACTCCCATCCAAAGTCATGAAACACAAACACTGTGGTACTTTCTCCTTTATTCTGTTAGCACGTGCATTTTCTTTTAGTCTGTTGGGACTAAACCTCTAAAGGGCTTTTCTCTCATGGCCACCTTTCCTTGAGAAGAAGTCGAATTTTGCGGTGCTGGAAACGTGAACAAGAATGCTTGCTTGTTTGTGTTAACTTCGAGTCCAAATTGAAGTCCAAATCGAGGGCTGGACCTGAGCCGTTCTTCAAGGTGGAGACATCTTCTGGTTAGACATGCTTCTTGGACATTTTGTTCACCTCTGGCCATCCAGTTGTCTGGATCCTCTGTGGTCTGATTGGAGAGACTGGAGTATAATGAGTCCATCTTTGCAAATTCCAGAGATCAACGGTCAACACATTTGATGGCTTTCCCTTCTAGTCTTCGTAATTTTCAGGGACATCTCTCTCTCTGATTCTGATACCTGAGAAATAATTCAGTAATCAGTTCAAAAGAAAAACTTTTCATACAGTAATATTCTAGAGAGAATATTAAGTTAAGAGTGCCAAGGTCCAAATGAACCAAAATATCCCAAGGCTGTCAATGGCAGGTTGGGCTGCTGCCGTACTGCCAAGTGTCTTCCATCTGTCTTAAGTGTGCATTACTACCAGCCCATCCAAGGCTCTCAGGTTCCTGGACTGTGATCTGGCAGTGTCCCACTGCGTCTTGTATCTTAAAAGACTTGAGCAATGCTTGTAGACAGCACCTTCTCCTTCTAGACCCCTGTCACCTCCCACCTGCTTCTCCTCCAAAGGTCACATCGACCTTGTACAAGGCAGGAAAATCACCTTAAAAGTCACCCCTCAGATTTGTTGAGGACTTTGAGCATCTCAAAACACTGTCACACTCTTTCACTCAAAGGTATTGGGAGAGGGGACTGATCTGTAAGCCAAGGATTCACACAATCTGCTGGATGGAGAAACGATTCTAATGAGACGCCTCTCTCCATGATGTCACACATCTTCCATGAAATAGTCTAGTTGCTAGACTTCTGCCCCCTTTGCTCAGATGGTACCCTAGGAGCCCACTAGAGTTTTGTGATCTCCCCTGTTTTGGCTTGAAAGTGTTCCACTTTTGAGACATTTCAAAACCTGACCCATTCTAGGGTTCCCAATGCCTTTCTGGAGTTGAGAGATTTAAGGAGACATTCCAACAGTGGAAGCATTGATGTAGCCAGCAGGGAACTGAAGGGTTTGTCAATTTCTTTCCTATTGTTGTGAACAACAAGACAAGAAACAACTTGGTGGAGAGAGGGTTTGTTTTCTCTTCTAGTTTAAAAAGGGGCACCATCCATTATGATAAGGAAGGCATGGCAGTAAGAACCTGATGCAGCGGGTCATGTTGCTTCTATAGACGGGAAATAGAGAGGAGCGCTGCAGCTCAGTTCATTCTTCCCTTTTTATTCAGTCTGGGACTCCAGCCTACAGGAACAGAACGCTCACATTTAGGGGCTCCTCCTTCTTCAGTTAAAACCTTTCTGAGAACACCCTCAGTTATCTCCAGAATTGTATTTACACAGTGGTTCTAAATCCAGTCAAGTGGATGATAAAAATTAGCCGTTGCAAAGGGGAACAGGGCCCACCGGCTCTCCAAACTCCACAAAGGTAACATTTGGTTCCCTTGTCTTATTGTTTTGGTTTGTGTTTTGAGTCTGGAAATAATGGGAAGGGCTTGTCTCAACCAAGGCATCGTTTAGAAAGCTGGACCAGGGCCCCTGTGCTGACTGGTGATCTAACAGATCTGAATTCTGGTGGCCTAACTTCCAAAGTCAGATGCAGAGTCCTGATTAATGAGGTTATTTGGTTTGTGGAGTCAACTAGGTCAAAGACCATTAATTATCCAACGACTCTGTCAATTCCAAGTTACTATGTGCCTTTGTATTTTGACTAGCCGAAGTTGTTATACCATTTATAAAATAAATAACAATAAATCATTTAACCATTTCTGATAGAATGATAAATTAGTGGCATTACCTGAATCCCAAAAAGATTCACCCTCAATTAAGCAGCTGAATAGCATTGGAATTAAAGGAGATAGAGAGCACCAGAACACAGCATATATTGCTGTCACATGAACTCGTTAGAGAATCTCCCAGTGCCTGCCTAGCATCCTCTCTTTAAGGGTTTCCCATGGGTCCCTGATTTTCCAAGACCTCCCGGCACCTGAGACCCATTTACCTCCACTCCTCCCAGGAGTGTCTTAAGGCCCTCAGGGGTGAGGGTTGTGCCAGGCAGTTCGTCTCCAGAAGCTCATTCCCCTCACCCTCATGTGGCTTCCACGTGTTCATAATGACATCCTTGGAGTGTGTCAGCCAGTACCATCTGGGGCGCCTGGAGGAGAGTGTCTGGGAGAGGGTGACAACTCAATCTTAGGCCAGAGGACGGGGAAACATATTGGGTGATTGCAGTTTCCATTCAGACAGAGGGAGTCTGGCAGTAGGTTGTCCACATCTGCTAAATCCATTACAAAGACTCTGCTCATCATGAATATTACAATAAGAATAGCCATCAATCTGGCTCGAATCAGCACTGTGCTTTTCTGGTCATCATTTTCTTTCTGGCCTGATTCAGCCTGTTCCTAATAGCATGTTGGGGGGAGTGTCAGACTTTCCTTGGGGCACCTGGTTAGTCATTTGTCTGTTTATGTTGGAGAAGTTGAACCAGGCCCCTTGATATGGAGTTGACAGGCCCTGAGAATGACAAAGGCCTTAGAGTGCCTGGGTGCTCAGACTGCTGAGGAAAAGGACACATGGCCTGAACTCAACCCATCTGGCCTTGGTGAAACTTGATGACTGTACCAGGGCTCCTCAGTCTTTGGAAAGTGTAAGAATTGCTAGAGCATTTGTTAAAACATCGTCTATAAGCCCTACCCCAATGAATTCAGATTCGGTAGGATTATCGGGACAGGGCCTGAGGCTTTAGTGGTCATGTTTTGAGTAGCATCATTCAATCATTCTTCCTAGAGCATGTTCCTCATTGCCCCAACCTTGCTATCTCCTGAGACCTGTGGTAACTGTGAGTTCCAAGCTCCATCCAGACCCATTGCATCTGAAAACTATGTTTCATCACAGACACTCTTTGCACCCCACAACATGAAGTGCATTGATCTGTAGCATTAATCCAGTGCTTGACACACAGTTGGATATCATGGTCTCAGAGTGCTCTTTGGTTCAAAGGCTTTTGACCTTAGCCTTTAAAGAGGTAAGTTATTTGGTCCATATTATTTCATGTGATCATCTCTCTGTGGTGTGAACTAAAGTTCTCTGAAGAATCTGCATCTGTGTGAGAGATCTTGCAATCGTGACGTTGGCTAAGAATGTGGTGTCTGAAGAGACGGAACATTACAGGTCAAGAGCCAAAATTTATCTTCGGCTGTCTTTTTTTTTTTTTAACCACTTTTACTACTTGTATCAACTTCTATATCTGAGTTAACATTCTCTTGACTTTTCAACAAAATTCTTGGAATATGTCTCTATCCTTGACATACCAGTAAACATCACTAACCCTAAAGCTAGGAATGTTATACAGACAACATAAAAGTAGATTTCTTCATCTTGCTATAGCTCACCTACCCACCTATGTATTTTATCAAAACACTTATTTATGTCTCTTTTCCTTACTGTGACCACAAGTTCAGATAACCTTTGCAACATAGACTAGCCATTCAAGGCGACCTGAACTGTATTCCTGGGTCATGCTCACTCACAGCTGGGTTGAACTGAATGATTCTCCTATATCCTTATTGCAGAATTGGTATTTTACATCCAAAAGGGCCATCTGTGACTTATTCAGTTCACAGTAACCTCAAAAGGCAGTGGCCTTGCATTGAAATGTGCACACAGACTATTCTGCAGTAGACTGGAACATAGGAAGCATCCATTGCCTGATATTATGTTGCAAAGGCACCTCTTAAAATGAAGTTACGGCCCTTGCTTTGTTTGTAAAGAAAGGTATTGCCAGTTGTAGTCTGTGGTTATTTTTAAATGTAAATTTACAAAACAGAAAGCCAAAGACCGATCTCAGATACACAATCTGACACCTTCTCCTCCTCCTTCCCACAGTCTGATGTTACTGTATTTATAGGAAAAAGATCTACAGTAAATAAGACTTTGGCTCTAAAACCATTGTTCCTTCCAATTTTATCCCACGTTTCCTTTGGAAAGTTTTGTTTCAGGAATGATGTAAACTCTAAATCAGGAGGACTCAGAAAACAAGCAAAATCCCACTTGAAGACCATAACTAATTTAGTCATCAGCCTTCCCCCAGTGAGCTACATTATCATTCTTTGGGCATTTTGAAGAAGGAGGATGCTTCTCTAAACCATACTACTTCACTTAGAAATGCCTTCATTCTAGCCAGCTTGCTGTCACACACAAAGAGGTGGAAACTACTCTCCCTTGTACTCCTGGGGGCCTGGCAGGAGCAACAGTGATGAACGAACATCTTTTAGTTGCCTAGTGGGATGCACCACAGTCAAATCCCTGCAGGTCTTCACTGGGAATTGTTTATATGGTGAACTCTCAGCCTACCCTTACCACCTAGGTCAGGCTGCAGTGATGTCTACACACAGAAGCGGCTAGGAGCGCAGGGCATGTTTGAGAAGCAAAACCGTCATTGGTACCTGGAAGGAGACAGTCACCTGGCCAGTCAGGGACGGAACAAGCCCAGCAGATGAGATACCATCAGCATATGTTGGTCCAGGAAAACAGAGAGTGATTGAAAGAAGGCTGGAGCAGGAAGGGCCACAGAAAGAGAGGAACAAAAACTGTAAACAGAACACCGGTCACACCAACCTGTGGATCCACTGCCGGGAGGGTCCAGGCAGAAGGGAGCATATCAGAAAGATGGACCCTTGTGCTATCAACTGAAACAATGGACTCCAATGAATTTTTAAATGTCAGGAATCTCATACCATGGGGAACGGAAAGGCCCGACCTAAGTGCCAACCAGAGGAGGAATTTGCCTCCCAGGAAGAGATTTCATCCAGTTCTGATAGCTTAGACTATCTTGTTTGATAGACCAGACCATCATGGGTCATAATGGGTAGGCCCACATCTTGACGAGGGCTGCTCAGTTGTGCACACCTCTTACCTTCTGTTTAAACCTAAACCTTGCTGGGTGGTGGTGGCACACGCCTCTAATCCCAGCACTCGGGAGGCAGAGGCAGGCGGATCTCTGTGAGTTCAAGGCCAACCTGGGCTACAGAGTGAGTTCCAGGAAAGGGGCAAAGCTACACAGAGAAACCCTGTCTTGAAAAACCAAAAGTAAAAAAATAAGAAATAAATAAATAAATAAACAAATAAACAAACAAATAAATAAATAAACCTAAACCTTATGTCAGTACTCTTCTGATGGACTTGGGGGCCAGTGGTCACTAGACCCCTTTACTTGCTCCTCTTTCCAATGTGGCCACATTACTAAATCT